CCAAATCCCAGCTTTTCTGTCACTCTAGCCTGGCATATATTTTTAGGTGACATATTTTTTTTTGCTTCAGTTTTGTTCTTAATAATTTGTTTTTTTTGCTAAAACTTCTATGGAGATGTTATGGTAAATATTCTTATACACATCCATTTCCACATCCATGATAATGATCCAGTTTCCCTAAATCCAACATCCAAACTATATGGTGCAATGCAGAAACCATCAAACTACTTTCTTCTGCTTTATTTTGGAGAAATAAAAATAATAACTTCTAATGAACATGGGTTAATCTTACTACCAAAGCCAAACAACAGGAAACCTTTCTAGGTTTATAACACACATTTATTTATATTAATGAACAGGTATGCAGAACCACCATTGGGTCCCCGAAGGTTCCAGCGGCCCATTCGCCGTCTGCTCCTGGGGGAACAAAATGCTACCAGCCCCTGCCAAGTGTGTCCGCAACCTGATCCCAACTTCCCTGCCAGAATGATGGGGCACGAAGACTGTTTGTGCCTCAACGTGTTCTCTCCCAAAATGCCAGGGGATGAAAAAGGTAAGCTAGAGGTAACTTCTTGGTTCTTTGGTCAACCCAATTTAATAGTTTATTTTTCGAAATTAAACGATTACATTAGTATTTCATTCTAGGTTCACCTGTGGTAGTATTCATACATGGGGGTAACTATCGGACTGGATCAGCGACTCCTTATGGAGTAAGTATTGGTTTCCGATGATTTATAATTTACATTGTGATGAAGGGAACTTTCAACTAATTATAAATATTGAATATTGGTTTTAGGGCAAACATATCACCCAAGAGGATACGATACTAGTGGTCCCCCAATATCGATTAGGGTCTCTTGGGTTCATCAGCAATGGGCAGAAAGAAGCTTCTGGAAACGCTGCCTTGTTCGATTTACAAGTTGCCTTAACTTGGGTAAGACATTAATTTCATTTTTAAATTCAAACTAACGCACGCACGCGCACCCCACATTAATATAAGCGCGGATATGATGCTGTGTATTACCACATTACTACTTCAAGTCATACAGGATTATCTTATTTTTGAGGGAATCATAATGAAGTGCGACCATAATCAATTACTTGACGATCGACGAATCGTTTCTTGTTTCGTTGTGGTGACCATAACCATTAACAGAGGAATGATATTGATACCAGACCTCCCCCGGTGACATTTTAGTCTCTATTTTTTAAGGTAATATAAAATTATTTTAAGACAACCTTTTTAATGTAGGTCAAAGACTACATAGAGTTCTTCGGTGGTGACCCAACAAGGGTGACCATGATGGGGCAAGGCTCGGGAGGCAGTGCGGCATCTGTGATGGCGTTGTCTTCGGAAGGTCGCAGCAGTCACGGCGTGGTGGCGCTGTCCGGCACGGCTCTGTCGCCGGGCACCGTCCGGTCCGAGCCCGACAAGCATGCCCGGCAGCTGGCCAAACAGACTGGCTGTCCAGAAACTCCAGTGGAGACACTCGTCAATTGCTTGCGGAAATTGAGCATCGATAAAATTGTACAAGTATGTGGACCTCTAAACATAGACTTTTGCGATATTTATGATTAAGTACCAACTACCTCAAGCGTAATACAGGTAGTTTCTTTCACCGTTAATTCTTGCTTTATTTCCTTAATTAGTGACCAGCTTTTCAGTTTATTCGTTACAAACAAACAAAACCACATTTATTTGCAGGCAGACAGCGCAATAGCGGAAAGCCTAACCGATACGACGAAATTTTTGGAAGAGATCACTGGTCGTAAAGGTAAAAGTAAACTTATTAGTACCTATAACTAAATTAAAACAAACAACAGCCTATAAAATGGTCATCATTATTCGTCATTTCCCTGTTATGCAGGAGCCGGCATCCGTGTGGAAGGAGAGTACGACAAACGGGGTCTGCCAACTTTGGTCACCGAGCAGCCTTCCGAGACGCTGAAGAAGAAGAAACAAAAGGTGCCTCTGCTCACTGGAGTCACGTCGGCTGAGACCGTACGAGCAGTCTTTGGTAAGATCCTACACTTGCCTTTGTATATTCCTGTCTAGTTAGTACCTACGTTTCGATCTTGATACAACTAATACAACTTGCTAAGATCCTTATGCCTCCTTGATGATTGCCTTGATTGATCTTTATGGTATTTTCTATTTTTTTAACGTACTTATGTATTGTAAAGAGTGCTAAGTAGGTAAGTAAACTGGCATAGTAGCAGTCGACTTAAAGGCAGTGGATTCCAGGTTCGATTCCTAGTCGAATCAATTTAGAGATCGGTACCGTATAGGCTACCTACTTGTTTGTTTAATTTACTCAATGACTCATAATAACATGGGTTTTATGGCAATTGGCAACAAAGTGATATTTTATGAATTGTTATGGTTATCTATCTAAGGTTAATTTCTTTAATTCTCATTGCAGGCAAATATGCAAATAAATTGACTAATTTGATGCTCAATCTAAAGAATTTCATAAAGAAAGACATCATCGGTGGGCTCAACACCATGGTGGAAGGCGTAGATGGACTACTGCCCATCAAGAAAGCAGCGCTTAAAAATATTCTTCCTCTTGGCGACTACGAAAAGTATTATGAAAGACTCTCAGAGACAGCTAACTCGAATATCTTAGAAGGACTAACAGCAATTGCCCGGGACACAGGTATTGAAATACAAAATAAATAGTTCTGCATTAATAAACTCATCTAAAGTAGTAGTAGCATAGGTTTATCACTAATTCCTAGAAAGTCTGCATTGTATCTCATAATAATATTTTGTTACTGGGTGGGTACGAGTGGCCATTTTGTGTCTTTCAATCGACTTTCAATAATAATAAAATTCTTACCACAGCCGGTCGGACCCCATGGTACCTAACACAGTCTGTAGACGAGGGGTGCTATAAAATTATAAAAGCCCCAGTTCCGTTTTTTGTTAGGGACCCTCGGATCGGACCCGTTTACCTGCTCCCTTTTAGAGCAAAGTTAGGGACGGTTTTAATAAAAATATTTCAGTCGGCTAGGGTTGAGAATCATTCCATAATAAATGATCAATGCTTTGATCGATTCATGAATCTAAATAACTAAATTAATGCTTTCCAGATCTAGAAAAATTACATGAGTTAGGAATACTGGCTTGCGCTACCATTATAGGCAAAGAATCGATAACTATAATGTAGAAGCTATTAAAAATAACCCTGCTTATTGCTTCATCGCTAAATTTTGTATTCTATGTGCAGGAGATGCTCTGTTCAACTTGCCCGCCTTCAAGAGCGTTCAGGAGTGGAGTTCTGGAGCACCAGCGTTCCTTTACAGCTTTGAATTTGTGGGAAATCTGACTAAAGGCTCTTATTTCCTTCCAGGCGTGCCACTTGCAGGTCAGTTGAGTAGAATTCTGGTGCCGTTTCTAACTGCTGGAATTTAATTTTAGTATTTGTCATGATTATTTTATAAAATTTTATTACAGAGGAGACCGATATCAGCAACTCAATGTATCAACCGAAAGAGTCCGGGCCATCGCATGGGGACGAATTGGCTTACATATTCGAGCCTCTGGATGCCTCAGGGAAGTCTGTTGAGCCTGCAGCGTCTCAGATGGATGCGCGTGTGCGCAAATCTTTCGTTGGCCTCATAACTAAGTTCGCACACGACGTAGGCGAAGCTAAGAACAAATCCAAACTCTTTAATATTACGCCGTTCTCACTCGACACTAACTCATTTATCAAAATCACTGATGAAGTGAAGATGGACAAAAATTTCAGGTCAGTATTTCAGATGACTATAAGGATAGTCATTGTCTTTTCTAATAAAACAAAAGAAATATGAAATTAACTAACAATTTTTTCGCAGATTTTGCCAAATGGGCTTCTGGGGCAACATGGTTGACAGAATAGCTGGAAGTCTGTGTTCAAATGAAATTAAAGAACTGCTGAAATTAAGTTTTATACCTAAAGTGGTGGATCTCACCGACATCACCGAGATGAAGCCGATTTCTGGACTTATTAAACCAAAAAACCCTAAGGCAGACCCTATCCCAAAGGTGCAGAACATTCTCAATCCTTTTGGCTTGTAAGAAAAGTGAAAATTAAAGTAGGTAATAAAGTACTTAATTAAATAGTAATTGCAGTAATTAATAATCGTGTTTCAATAATGTCTCAACATTAGAGCTTGAGTTTGACACTTGAGCCTAACTTAATGAAATCAATCCAAATACCTACTGTGTATAATTTTACACTTAAGAAAAGAAAGACCATGTAAACATTTTATGAATAAATAGGTAGATAGGATTAAAAAGTTAAATTGGTATAAAATAGAACGAAATATGTTTGTGAAGTTAAGGGCAGTAGGTAGGTACCTACCTAATCTGCGATAATGATAAGGGCTTCTTGAAGTTAAAAAAATGTAACAATAGGTAGGCATATCTGTTTGTTTAAATATTTACTATGACAATAAGATTTATTGAAGTGTTATAAAAATATGGTAGTTATTTAGAACAAATGTTTGTATTCGTTCGAATAAATCTAGAATGAGGCAATTAATGTCAATGTTTATGTTAGTGATAAGAATTAACTAGCAAAAAACCTTCACTAATGCTCATACAGATTAGGGATTATTTTGCGGCCAAATACAGGGTGACTATTTTAGTCTACTAACTACTAATAGCAGACGTGCAACATCTATTAGGACTTGTAAATAAAATTGAAACAAGCTCTTGGACGAAAACAAACAGGAGATTTAGATAAGTATTAATTAAAAGAAATTAAATATCCACTAATGGTTAGTAGTAGTAGTAATAGTAATGGGAAGTACCTGGATGCAAGCGGCGCAGGACCGGTCTTTGTGGAAATCCTTGGGGGAGGCCTTTGTCCAGCAGTGGACGTCTTTCGGCTGAAACGAACGAACGAACTAATGGTTAGTAATCAAAGCTATGACGCAAGTTGTAAACAACTTGAGTCATAAATACAAAAATAAAAACTTCTAAAAATCATCCTATAGGTCAGGCTCTTATCTACGACCTAGTGTGTAATGGTATGCGGGTGGAGTCACTATAAGTGCAAGTAAAAGCTGGGTCAACTAACAAACAAATCAAGCAGCATCAAGTGCAAACGTGCCAGTGTCAAAGAATCCATCGGCAAATCGCAATGTCTCGTGTGTGTAAAATCGTTATTTTCCTTTGTTTTGTCGCCGTTTGCGAATACGTGAGCGGCAATGTGATTAGTTCTAAGGATCTGAAGGAGGTGAATACGAAAGAATTACCCATTGAAAAGGAGGTTGAAGATGATTTCAAAGTGATTCCTATTGAGGCCACCCCTGAAAAGCCAGCAGAAAAATGCGCCCCTATAGGTTCTTTCGTAAGTATTTATTGCCTTTAAATTTTGATGTTTAGTTGGAGCCAGTTAATTATCAGAACTTTTGAGTTCAACCAACTTCGTAATATCTAGAAGCTTGTCTCGTGATAATAGCTTATCGTGTTTATTACAATAAGAATGGAAACAATTCACCTTCTTAGTTCATTATAACCAAATTATTCCAGATTTGTGAAGTCAAATAGGTAATAATGATACAATACATTTTATATCAACAATTTATTAAGAGATAAAATTTTGTTGTATTCCTTTGCAGTGCATGAACCACAGCGACTGCTGTTCCAACTCCTGTTTGGGATACATGAAGAGATGCGTGTCTGGGACTGGGTAGAGCTGCTCTTCAATATGTTCAAACACGTGCCTATGAGCTGAATATTTATATCCGCCTTCTCCATTAAACTCATTCTCTAAGGCACTTCACTATCAGTTAAGCAAGGAATCCTCAATTTTTTTAGTTCACTTAAAAAATGTTACATTAATTTATATCACAAATGTTAAAAGTAGGATTTATTTGTTAATTTTGCGGATTGGATGAATAGGGTGGTCCATGTGGGTCAGGTCTGGCGGATTAGCAGCGAAGTGCTGGATCTCCTTCATGGCTCCCTCGGATATCTTCCAAAGATCAGGGTAATCCTTTTTGAAATCTTTGTACCATTTGTGTATCTGTGAAATAAATGTTTATTTTTACTTTCCGATTTGTTTTTTACAGTGATAATGTTGCAAGATTGCCATGACTCATTATGTCATCGTTAGGCGTCCCTTTATCATGATTTATTTATTATGAACCTCCATCCTACTATCTTCGGTAATTAACAAAGCTTTCATTTCTTTATTAGCTCATTAGTAAAGTTATCTAGCACTGTTTTAAGAACCTAATTATCCTAATTATTTATATGTAGGTACACTTCAGCGGAAGATAAATTTTGACCATGACACTATTTTAAATTTTTCTAGAGTTTTATTTTCACGAGTAGGACTTAGTTAATTAATTAAAGTATGTTATCTAAAGATATTATTATAGTAGGTTAATCAACTTACCTAATAAGGATAGGTACTAATTAAATTGGATTACTCATTATAACGAACTTATGTTACTCGTTTTATTAGTAGGTACCTACTATTAGTAAAGAGGTAGATCGTAAATAGTTTAATTGATTCCCATTGCGTGATTCCCATTAACAAGCTACAAATACTTACTCTCTTGTATTTGCTAAAGTCGAAATCGATGGCTTCAAGAGTCATGGTGGAGTTAATGAGCTGGAAGTCGGCTATGGTGAGGTGGTCAGCCGCCGCGTGGCTGGTCCCCAGGCGTTCCAGGTACGTCTCGAACACGTTAAGGGCAATGTGTACCTTCTTCAGGCCGAGGGGAGTACGCTCGTAGTCGAAGAATATGGGAGCCATCTGGAAGGAAATGCTCATAATGTAGTATTTCTGTTGTAACAATAGGGATGTTTCCTGGGTCAAAAAGCAAGAGTTTTAATTAGTCCGTCAGTTAACTTATCAAAAAATACTCTACACGTATTTTTCACTTTTTCAAACTAATGAAAATTTAAAGAGATAAAGCGCGCCAAAGTTCATAAGAAAAGGCCCGTGACGTCAATGCGTGCATAAAAATGCCGCACGTTGTGACGTCGTGCGGAACTTCAACGCACCATAACTATGTAATTATTTGTTAGATTGACAAATAAAAAATATATGTGTCCAATATTTTTTGATATGAAACATTACGGACAAAAAAATTTTTTTTAGGAAACTAGCCTATTGGTGCTATCTTGAGTTACTCAGTATGACTAAGTTTACAGCCCTGACTGTAGACCTTATGACCCACAACGGGCGTGACTAACTACAGCCTAAAGCCACCAAGGCGGACCGGAGATTTTCAATCTGATTGGTTATTCAAAACATTCCCCGCCCCGTTTTGCTCCGCTCTGTCTGTGGCTCTGCCTTGGTGGAAACCGCGTCTAAAGGTGAAAGTGCGTGTGGTGCGTGTATCCGAGTATTTAGTATCGTTACAGAATAATAATGTATCGTCTTGAACACATTGCTTCAATATGCACAAGTTAGGAGGAAAATATTGCGTACTTCCGGCTTACTCGTTGTCTCTCTACTTAGTAAAACAAGGATCCTATGTCATTGGTGCATTTGTCTGGTGCATCTGCACACCTTTACATATTTATTTATAGACTGCCGGCGAAGAAAATCTTGCCGGGGCAAGTCATCACCAGAAAGTGGATCTAGGAGCATTATAATTTGATAAAACTTACCGTATACGCAGAAATATTTGCGTAATAAGTTGACAGGTTGAAACACAGCCTATGATTCACGAGAGCCCTGAAAATGGAAATTAATGCTATTTCATTAACTATTAACTACTAAAATACCTATGAAACTTATCTGTAGATTTTTTTTATTAATTAGAGCTTGAAAATATAATTTTCTTCTTACCTTGCTTTAGGTTCTTTAGGATACAGGGGCGACTCTGGCTTGAATTTGTCGCAAACATATTGCAAAATTGCGTTGCTTTCTCCCAAGAAGAAGCCATCATCATCCAACACCGGGATTTCTTTTTGAGGGTTCATCTGAAATATTTATAAAATTGAATTTATCAAAATGGTACGACGAGTATGAAATGAAAGGGAAAATGAAAAATATGAAACGTTATCACAGAATACCAATACTACCATTTTAGTGCCCTAAGCACGAATAGTATCGTTTTGTTATGGTGTGATGGTTATTTTTGAAATTAAAACAATTTTTTTTTTTTATGTGATAGGAGGCAAACGAGCGAGGAGCAATAAAACAAAATAGAGCGTTATTTATTCTGTGATAGAGCGCAGCGACACGGGTTGTTTATGAAACACGTCGTGTATTCTTGTTGATTATACCTACTGAAAAATCAGGTGAGAATCCCATAACTGGCGAAATTTTATGATGTTGAAAATTTACAAAATAGCTAATTCTGTAGATATGTTTTGCTTGTGTCATAGTTACCAAAGCATACTCCGGCGTCATGTGGTCTCCAGCCCCGAAGTCTACGCTGACCAGCTCGAAGGGAATCTGGAGGTGCGTGAGTGCCTGCCGCACCGACAGGGATGGAGGGCCATCGGATACTCCGTACAGTTTCAGGACCATGGTTCTAGAAATTTAAATAAAATAAAAAGCTTTGGCAATGCTTAGTAAGCAAGACGTAGCGTGGGCAGGCCTCCCACTAGGTGGACCGAGGATCTAGTGAGAGTCGCGGGAGGTGCCTGGATGCGAGCGGCGTAGGACCGGTCTTTGTGGAAATCCTTGGGGAGGCCTTTGTCCAGCAGTGGACGTCTTTCGGCTGAAACGAACGAACGAACGAACGAATGCTTAGTACAAGTTGAACCTTTTTCTTTTAGTTTGATGATAGAAAAATTTAGTTGGTGGGTGTGGCTGTACAAATAAATTAACTAAATTCGTAGGACCGGTCTTTGTGGAAATCCTTGGGGAGGCCTTTGTCCAGCAGTGGACGTCTTGCGGCTGAAACGAACGAACGAACGAATGCTTAGTACAAGTTGAACCTTTTTCTTTTAGTTTGATGATAAAAAAATTTTGTTGGTGGGTGTGGCTGTACAAATAAATTAACTATAATAAATTCAGTTTTCATCAAATCAATGTCGGTATTTAACCCCCAAGATTAATCCTGCCAATAAGTTCTGTTCAGATTAAGTACCTACTATACTTATCGAACGAAATCATTATTTTATACCAGAAGTTAGTTAAATTCAGCTCCTAGTTACCTACTTACATAATAAAAACATGCTTCCGTAATGGTTGCTATTATACAAGTGCAACCGGTTAAATGTTGCTATTTACACTTGGTAAGTAATTATTAATTTCAAATCACATAACTTAGAAGCCCTAAAAATGTTCTGAATAAACTGAACAGTAAACTGTTGAAAGATGTGAATATCTTTTAGTGGTAAGATTTGATATCAAAAAGTAAACGAACCTAATAGTTGTGTGATCAACGCCGTGGCTGCACAGTGTCTGTAACTGTATGCATGAATGGATTACGTTCTCATTACGCGGCGCCGGATTGCCGACTTGGCGGCCAATCGCCAGACTCCCTTTCACTTGTTATTTGAGGGTCAGCTGTCAACTGCGTTTAAAATACTTAGCATTTGTTATTGGCTTTGTTTTGATCATGTGCACAATGTTCTAACTTTTGAAGAATGAATTAAATTCTTTCCCCTGTATCTCCTGTTCAAGCCCGGTCAAGCTGTAGATCCTGTCTACACAGGAGTTGCAGCGGTGGGAACGAGAAGTGGGAATAGTCCCGTTATCTAGTAGTAGTTAGGCAGGAGGTCACTCCATCATACAGTGGAAGTTCTATGTACACGTAGATGAGGAGGTAGGACAGGCATTTACAAGAGTTAAAAGTATTCTTGTTTGTTACTTCACTGACAGGAAACCTTGAGGATCTAATGAAATCTAAATTATAAAGCAGCATTTCAATTCAAGTAATGATAGATAAGATAATTTTGTTTCTCCAGCTGGCAATTTTATAAAACCGCATCATGCCGTTAACCCTTTTCTTACTAATCCCACTGGATAAGTAACTTTCTAGAAATAGGTAGTAATGTTCATGATTTTTTGTATACTTTAACGTAGGGGTACCGTACCTGTACCTACCAAAGTAATAACTAAAATAGGGAATACAATTACTTACAGAGTTTTGTATTTCATGTGATGCTAAACATTATCATAAACTTGTATAAAGCGATTGCTTAAGGCAGGTGGGAATTGAACCCACGGCCTGTCACTCGCAGGCGCAGGGCTACTGTTGGGAACTTGGGACCACTGGTATACGGAGACATTTAATTCCCATCTGAGGCAGTCTATTTTTTCAAGTTTTATTTTCTTGTTACTTTAATCGCAAAGCCTGTCTAGGGTTAAGTGGAAGCATTTCTCAATAACTTAGAGCCAACTTCCTCAACATGATTATAAATACAAGTAAACAAACAGACAGCTGCCTCTTTACAAAGGCGCATTTGGAGATGATTCACAAAAATGTACACGTATTTAAAGTTTATTGTGGGGGTCACACACATTCTGCTAGTAAATTCAACTAAATCGGCAACTCTTCATGAGACATGGAACCATCAGAATTATCGTGTGAAACGGCAGGAAGGCTACTTCTACGACCGGCCGAGTGTTTCCTTTGACCTACCCACGCAATCCACGACAGCAGCGGCCCAAACCCCTGTGATAGAGAGAACTCAAACCCCTGCAGTTGACAGGACACAATCTCAGTACATGTTTTACGCGTATCCAGCACCCTCTAGCGGGGATACCGTAAACATAGGTTACTCTACAACTGGGAGCAGTACAGCTACCACTTCCCCTGGTTACACAGCAGGAACGACGGCAGGAGGTGGTGGTGGTGGTGGAGCTGGAGGATACAATTATGGAACCCAGAGTTCTGAAACTTCAAATGCTGCTGCAGGAGGTGGTGGTCAAAACTCAGGAGCTGGAGGATACAACTATGGAACCCAGAGTTCTGGGACTTCAAATGCTGCTGTAGGAGGTGGTATAACTCAAAGTTCAGGAAGTGGAGGATACAATTATGGAACACAGAGTTCTGGAACCTCAAATACTGCTGCAGGAGGTGGTGCAAGTCAAGGCTCAGGAGCTGGAGGATACAACTATGGATCCCAGAGTTCTGTAACTTCAAATGCTGCTGCAGGAGGTGGAGTAGGTCAAAACTCAGGAGCTGGTGGATACAACTATGGAACACAGAGTTCTGGAACCTCAAATACTGCTGCAGGAGGTGGTGCAAGTCAAAGCTCAGGAGCTGGAGGATACAATTATGGAACCCAGAGTTCTGGAGCTACAAATGCTGCCGCAGGAGGTGGAGTAGGTCAAAACTCAGGAGCTGGAGGATACAACTATGGAACACAGAGTTCTGGGACTTCAAATGCTGCTACAGGAGGTGGTGGTCAAAGCTCAGGAGCTGGAGGATATAATTATGGAACCCAGAGCTCTGGGTCTTCAAATGCTGCTGCAGGAGGTGGAGTAGGTCAAAACTCAGGAGCTGGAGGATACAATTATGGAACACCGAGTTCTGGAACCTCAAATACTGCTGCTGGAGGTGGTGCAAGTCAAAGCGCAGGAGCTGGAGGATACAATTATGGAACTCAGAATTCTGGAACAGCATCTACGCAGAACGCGCCCACTGGATCTGGTGTATCTGGTTATAATTACAACACACCGAGTCCAAATTCTGGAGCTAATCAAAGTCCAACTACCGCCTTCACGAATTCTCCACAATATTTGCCACCAGTATCGACCGGCGTCAACACAGGTGTTACTGTCAATATTCCATCCGGAACTGTAACAACCAGCTCAGATTCGGGCTCTGTAAAAACTATTACAACAGGAGCAGAAACAGGAATTCCTGGTGGAGGGTATTTACCTCCAGTTATATCTCCTTCAATTTCTCCGAGTCCTCAGCCCGGAACGGTACCTGGTCCAGCTCAGTCTCAACCAGTATCTAGTGCTCCCGCTGAGTATTTACCACCAGTTGTATCGACACCCGGTTCACCTGCTCAGAACACCGTATCAACACCAGCGTCAACTTATTTACCACCTGTATTCTAAATAATGAAATATTATTTATTAATAAAGGTTTGGTTTGTAAATTTGTACTTAAATTAAGGTGTCGATCTAGCTTTAATCTTTGCTGTGTGACCCAGTGATCGCGGTCTCCAGTGACCGGGACATTCAAATTACGTACAAAAAAGTTACCGTTTGTTTTCCTTTGTGATATTGATTTTTAATAATAAAATAAATAAAATTAATATACCGAACGGATTGTTGCCTCGTTCGGTTTCGGTTCATAAACATGGCACCTGCTAATTTTATTATCTGTATGTCTAAACAAAACGCTGCTGTCAACTGTCAAAGTCAGTCAGTGTTCTGTCAAAAAATCTAACCAAACGTAAACGTCATACAAAAATAGCATCAAGATGAAAGTTATTTTTAATATTCTTTTTTAAAATAATAATATTTCCTACTATATTCAGCAATAAAATGAATTTACAAAACAAATTTAAAGTATTACTTTTTGAAGTATTTTGCACAGTGTAACCAGTGGCTATATTTAGAACGAAGTTTACATAAATTATGATTTTATTAAAGCAAACACTAAAATTCTCTATAAAAGGAAACGACACAATTTTCAGGTAAGATTAGCATAGAACATCGTTTATTATTTTGTTTATGTTCAAGTAAATAAATATGTTTTCATTGAGTAATGTTCAAGGTCTGTGACCTTAAAGTTTTCATTAATATGCTTTGCAGTGGCTAACACATTGCTTAAAGTGTTTTGAAATGGACTTCTGTTTTGTTATTGTTTTGCAATATCAGTACGTTTATACTATTTTTATATTCTAGGACTGTACAAGTGTGGGTTGATGGAGCTGAGGATGGTACACCTCGAGATGCCCGATGTCCAGCTGTGCACCAATACTCTTTCTATAAATGACCTGCCAAACGAGATACTAATTTATATATTCTCAATGATAGACTTTGAGTCTGTTTTAGCAGTAGCAAAAGTCTGTATGCGATGGCAACAACTGTGCCTGACTCCCTGTGTCTGGGACAATACTCGCCTCATAGTCTGCATGAAAAACTATGTGAGAATAAGTGAAAGCATTGTTCCATTTGTTGCAAAGTATGTAAAAAATGTCAAGTTGCAATATTTCAAACTTTATCCCCAGGTGAGGGCTTCACTGATAAGTTATTGCCCTAATTTGACTCACTTAGAAATAAGTATTTCTCAAGTTGATAGTTGTATTTTTGATGATTTGGGTCACTGGCCTAATTTAAAATTCTTAAGTTTTCGCAACTCTCTAATAATACAAAACCCAGAAAATGCTAATGGGAATTTTGTTTACCACTTACCATTTGAAAAATTAAAGTGCCTTGAAACTTTAATCTTATCTAATTTTGCATTGACACAGAACAGTTTATACAGCATGCTGCAGTGTCCCAATTTAGTCAGTATTAACATTGAAAAAATGAAGAATATACCTGCAGATTTTCTGGAATCTTTACTCACTACTAAACAGAGCACATTGAGATCATTACACATTTACGGGGATACATTGAATGATGATATCATCCGTTACATATCAAGCTGCAGGGTACTGCAGGTTCTGCACATCATGACATGCAAAACATTGTTTGATTCTAGTTTGCTTCACTTGTACCGACTAAAGAATTTACATTCATTAAAATTGCGTCATTCATTTTTTTCCACAAGTGCTTTACTTGCATATTTTTCTAACAACACATTCTTGAATCTGACCTACCTGAGTCTGTCAAGATGTCACCATGTCACTATGCAAGTAGCTAAGGCAATCAAAACTAGTGCACCCAATTTAAAAGAGCTCTCATTCTATCTTTGTCCATTTATAATTGCCCCCAATTTTAACCGGTCAGAGCTAGAAAAAATGTTTGATATACAGTTATTGCTTGATTGAATGCAAATTGAATCATAATAGAGTGTTTAGTGACTAAAGCAGTTTAGATCTCCGTCCACCTTTATACAATATAATATAAATAGCATTATCTAATATTAATTAAACATTTTTCATTTTAATATGAAAAAGAAAAATTGTTTGACAAATTGGTATTTTTCATAAAAAATCATAAAGTGCAATTTTTATTATAATAGGTATAAATTAATGTTGGATTTTATTAATGAAAACTTAGATATAATAAATGATGATTTTATGTCTTATAATTTTTAGTTGTAGGTTGTGTTGTGCTGGATGTGTCAACTAATTCTCGTAATTTTAATTTGATTGATTTTGCAAACAATCAGTATTTTTAAAACAGGTCAAATGCAAGTCATACTTGCTCTTCCTCTACTTAAAGATTTAAGTTTCATGATATACCTAATATCATGATGACACTCTTGTGCACTTATGAAATTAAAGTTGTTGATTTCTACATTAGTTTATCCATAGAATTCTAGATAGGTGTTCCATATAATTTGAGGGACTGTGTACCTTCTTGTGACAATATTTCTTTGGTATTATTATTAATTTATTATGCTTAAATCTTAAAAGTATTACAATTGTATGTTTAATGGTAGATTATCTTTTGTCTTGTATTTATTTTATTGGTGTTTTATAAAAGAAAAGTATATTGATATCAGTGGATTACCACCTCTGATAATGTTGTCTACAATCTACAATATTGTCAATAATTGAAATTAATGTGCCTTATCAATAGTTACAATATAATGTCTTGTTGATTTATGAAAACACTATTTTTGTAATAAAAAAAATAATGTAAATCCGCCATTACACTACTTATTTAATTTTGTTGAAAAATAAAAATATGTAAGTATCAATGATTTTTATATAATATCATTGGTAAGTACCGTATTTTTTAACTACCTATGTATCAAATTGTATTTACTGTCCTACTTCCAGAAAACATTTAAATAGATTTAGAACTAAAGTTAAATAGATTGTGTGAATAAAGATTTAACTACTCTTATTATATTGTTTTGCCTACTTAATTGCTGATGTTATTGTGATTCAAATGTTGACATATTATAATTTGTTTGTATCTTTTTGCTATCACATACATACACTTAAAATATATTTTTTACAAAATATATTATGTCGTTTCTCCTTATTTATTACTTGTTCCATTTCCATTGAGGATTAAATATCTACAGGATCTTACTCGCCAGTGGCGCCAACTAGGTTTAGTAAATTTCATCAGGGGGCGTATAGATGACCCACGCTGAACTGTCCCGCCAAACTCAATGACAGGGGGGCGCTACCATCGTTCAACTATATGGTTTCCAACATGGCAAAAATCTGAACCAGCGATCCGGTATTGACGGTGGCGCCCCACTGTCAATGTCATCGACAGGACAGTCCAGTATTTTGGAACTATAGTATGAGTTTACGTCAAATGCATTCGATGTCGACTGCGTAAAAGAGTGACAATGTATGACGGATTAAACAGCGCCCCTAGCGGAAACATGAAAGAACTAAAATTTTAACGCGCTCAGTAGTGACGACGTTTGATGTAAAGTCACACTAAGGCCCAAAACAGACGGTGAAACGCAACTGCAACTTTCTGATGATTATTATAAATGAAACTGAAAGTTTCAAACTGGTCGCGTCATGTGTGGTCTCTCAACGGACGCTATGGCAGAAACTTAGATGCAACTCAAAAGTAACTAGCAGTTGCAGTTTCGTTGCAGTTGCGTTTCACCATCTCTTCTGGGCCTAAGCCCTCAGATTACGTAAGTGTTCAATATAACACAAGACTATTGACAGGACAATGATTGTTATTATTACAGTATTGTTTTTTTTTGTCGATGTCTAGGAGTAGTAAAATAAAATCAGTTTAGAGCCTTTAATTCATTTATTCACCAGATTCGTTACACGAACGGTTCTATGTTGATCTCGAGCGCCGAGCAAGGGTTGGTGAGCTCGAAAGCTGCCAATACGTTGGGGTGTATGACGCCTATTTTGCCTATCACTTCACCGCGGAGGACCACTTCGGCGCACCTTCCCGGGAAATACGCTGGGTCTGTAAGGAGAATGGTTATCATTATTCTATAAGATTTTAAACTTTCGTGTTCCATTTACACTCAAATAGAAAGACACGGGTCTTAACGCGACGAGTTACATTATGTACAGTCACGGAATGAAAAGGTTCGTCAGTTTTCAAATTGATTCCTTCAACGAATCACAAGCACATATTACCTTTTGAAACTATGTTACAGAATAATCTCGAGTTAGAGAAAATAATCTTTAACTGTACGTCAGTAAAGTTCAAAATTATTCAGATCAATGTTGTTTGACGATTTAACTTGTCAAGAAGATTATTATGATTGATTGATTGATAAACTAAAACCTTGTTGGTTCAACCTGCCATTATCTATTAAATAAAAAAACATTTTGTAACATTGCTGCATTGCACTGATGGGATAGAAAAATAAACAAGCAAAACCTTATTCGTTAGCAAACGTCATATTTATTTAAATGTTAGCAGCACTGTTTCTTGCACGGTTATGTTGGCAGATTTGACTCTTAGGCCTAATTCACACGAGAGCTTTTTTAACGTCCGTTAAAAAAGCGTTCAAATAGAACATATGCATACCCAAGTACGTGTTCACACGTCGGCGCTTTTAAGACGCGACGCTTTTNCATGACGCGGTCGAGTAGCCCGTGCATTAATTGGAAACCAGCGGCCCGCTTATAGTGCACTTTAAGTACTGGTATTAATAAGTGTGAGTTTACAGTGTACCTTCCCGCTGCCTCAGGCCGTAGCCATCACTGCTGTAGGGCACTCGCAGTAGCGCCATGACGCGGTCGAGTAGCCCGTGCATTAATTGGAAACCAGCGGCCCGCTTATAGTGCACTTTAAGTACTGGTATTAATAAGTGTGAGTTTACAGTGTACCTTCCCGCTGCCTCAGGCCGTAGCCAGCACTGCTGTAGGGCACTCGCAGCAGCGCCATGACGCGGTCGAGTAGTCCGTGCACGAATTGGAAACCAGCGGCGCGCCCACAGTGCACTTTATGTAGTAGTAATAAGTGCGATTGTGCAGTGTACCTTCCCGCTGCCTCAGGCCGTAGCCAGCACTGCTGTAGGGCACTTGCAGCAGCGCCATGACGCGATCCAGCAGTCCATGTACAAATTGGAAACCAGCGGCGCGCCCACAGTGCACTTTATGTAGTAGTAATAAGTGTGAGTTTGCTATATACCTTCCCGCTGCCTCAAGCCGTAGCCATCACTGCTGTAGGGCACTCGCAGCAGCGCCATGACGCGATCCAAAAGTCCGTGCACGAATTGGAAACCAGCGGCGCGCCCACAGTGTACTGCACACAGCCGCCGTTCGTTGCGTGCGCCCGTCTCTGCAATTAGAAGAACATGTTTATGGGCGTTACGTATTATTAAAAGTTAAAAACGGACTTCTTGGCGGGAATCTCATCGCGGGAAGCGTCATGTTAGCGGTTTTGTTTTATTTCCTCAAATTTGTGTTTGGGCGACTGTTAATGTGTAATAATGGTGGGTTATTAACCATTGAGTGTTCGTGAACGTGCATGAGTGTGGGCGAGTGAAGCAAAACAGTGCATCGTGATTCTTCGGGTTCTCTCAAGTTGTCCATAGGAGGTCTCAGTAAAGCACCACAACTTTACTGAGACTCAAAGGGTGGGAAGGGGTATCATCTATCATGCCTTCATTATATCATTACTTGATCTCATTTTGTAACTCGTATCACTTATAAACTTGAAAATGGCAAAAATCAAGTCGACGTCGACGTGTATTGCCAACATCATCAAAAAAGAAGAAGAAGAAAGTTAAAAACCAACTTAATTTATAGGTCTACTGCTTATACTCTGAACCAGTGCCTGACGTATGGAAGTGGCACGGGAGGAATCTTCTTCTGCCTCGCCTTATTACGCGGGGTCGGCTTTCTTTCACCATAGAGATATAGAGAGATGCCAACTAATGCGCTGAGTTCGAAACTCAGTGTCGCATTAGAAATTGACACACTCAAAGTAATCAAAATATGTGCTCATTATCCACTGCGGTATCAGTACTCAACGTTCGAATAATCTTCAGTACTACGCAAGCAATGTACTGTTCTGTTTTTCCCCTTAGTTTGTGATATGTGGCTTTCACAATCATGCGCTGCCATTTAATTCTATCTTGAACGTCTTGTTCAGGGGACGAATACAGATTATAAAAAAACTTTTTTGTTAATTTTTCCACAGTAAAAACAACTCACCAGCGTTATCATCCTTCAACACGACGTCACTGATTTCAAAGAGCTTCAAAGGCAGGGGCATCTTCTTATTGGCTGCGAGCGTCTTCAGGAGTCCTGACAGCAGCAGCGTTCGGACCACCTGAAACTCCAGCGTCTTCGGGTTGGAAATGTGGACGGCAGGGACTTCCTCGATCTTGAGGCCCAGCTTTGTGGCCACGTCCTCGCGAGAGCACTGGAAATATTTAAATGTCTTGATTTAGGCTATGTTTAAATGTACACGTAGTTTATGCATTTTAGGGCCGCATGGGTGACTATTGTCGCAGTCAATGTTTCGTCACTCATACCAAGGCTCCATGGAATTGGAATTTCTATGGAGGTGCGCGCACGTAGCGACTTGACAGTGACAGGAACTGTTATTACATAGGACCACGGCTCCCATTTACATGATCGCGTCTCCCATTTACATGATTGATAGTGGGTTGCTGTCCACCCGCATAATAAGTACATAGCAAATAACCCAAATAAGTACATAGCATTCGAAAATGGTACGGTTTGGTAGGGTAAAACTTTTTTAACGGTGGGTTGATGATGATGATGAGTGTCAGATGATGAAGGACTTAAGAGGACTCACGAGCGTGAAGGTGAGCGCCTCAGTATAGCCGGCGTGGGCACATTCAGCGCGTAGCTGTTCCGAGAGTTTGATTAAGAAACAGCCGAAATTTGAATTGGTAGAACTTTCATTAACAGTGAGGTGATGTTCTTCTTGTTGTGTCGACAGCAGACCTATACAGTGTCAGCCCAAAACTCCGCTACTTACAAGAGTGGTGTTGTTAAACTTGAAGTGCAAGTGCGCGTTCCCCAGTCTATGAAGCACATGATGTCGTGGCCTGCGTGCCCAAACAACTGCACGCAGGAAAATTTAATGAATGCTACTGACAACAGTGAGGTGATGAATATCAGCTGATGGTTATTGTACTTACGAGCGTGAAGGTGAGCGCCTCTGTATAGCCGGCGTGGGCACATTCAGCGCGTAGCTGTTCCGAGAGCTTGATAGGTTGTTGCCCGCCAGCATAATATAAGTAGCAGCCGAAGGTTTAGTTGAGTAGACTTTTTTCAACAGTGGACTGATGATGATGATTCGAGTATCTGGTGATGATGATGACTTACGAGTGTGAAGGTGAGCGCCTCAGTATAGCCGGCGTGGGCACATTCAGCGCGCAGCTGATGACCGCCCGCATAATTTTAAGTAACAGTCGAAGATATCGACATCGTAAAGGTAGCAGGGAAGCGCTGGATGCAGGCTGCTACCAATCGATCAACGTGGAAAGCATTAGGGGAGGCCTATATTCAGCAGTGGAGGTTCTATGGCTGAAATGATGATAATGATGATGATGAGTCGAAGATAGTATGGTTTTGTTGGACAGAAGTGCAGAACTTTTTTCAACAATAGACTGATGATGATTCGAGTATCAGGTGATGATGATGACTTACGAGCGTGAAGGTGAGCGCCTCAGTATAGCCGGCGTGGGCACATTCAGCGCGTAGCTGTCCCGAGAGCTTGATAGCTAGTTGCTACCCGCCCGCATAATATAAGTAGCAGCCGAAGGTTTAGTTGGGTAGACTTTTTTCAACAGTGGACTGATGATTCGAGTATCAGGTGATGATGATGACTTACGAACGTGAAGGTGAGCGCCTCGGTGTAGCCAGCCTGGGCGCATTCAGCGCGTAGCTGCTCCGAGAGTTTGATGGCCACCCACATAATTTTAAGTAACAGTCGAAGATAGTATGGTTTTGTTGGGCAGAAGTGTAGATCTTTTTTGAACGGTGGAACGAGCCTGAAGTTGAGCGCCACGGTGTAGCCAGCGTGGGCGCATTCAGCACGCAGCTGATGACCGCCCGCATAATTTTAAGTTCGTTCGTTCGTTTCAGCCAAATGACGTAATCATGAATTTTAAGTCATCATCATCAACAGCCCTTTACAGTCCACTGCTGGACTATGAGCCTCCTCCACTATAGTGGAGGGTTTTGCCATAATCTCCACGCTTGGCAGGCGGGTTGGAGATCGCAGTTTAAAAGATTGATGTTTTTCAGAGAGCGCTGCTGCCCGTTCTCTGTTTGATGTGTAGTCCCTAAGTCGCCTCTTACGACACCCGCGGGAAGAGTAGGGGTTGGTGACAAATGTATTCTACTCTGCCGTCACCACACGGCTTGAATTTTAAGTAACAGTCGATAATTAAAGAGTATCGTTTTGTTGGGCAGAAGTGTAGAACTTTTTTCAATAGTAGACTGATGATGATGATGAGTGTCAGGTGGTGATGATAACTTACCAGCGTGAAGGTGAGCGCCTCAGTATAGCCGGCGTGGGCACATTCAGCGCGTAGCTGTCCCGAGAGCTTGATAGCTGGTTGCTGTCCACCCGTATAATATAAGTAGCAGCCGAAGATTTAGTTGGGTAGACTTTTTTCATCAGTGGACTGATGATGATGATTCGAGTATCAGGTGATGATGATGACTTACGAGCGTGAAGGTGAGCGCCTCAGTATAGCCGGCGTGGGCGCATTCANTTATTATAAATGAAACTGAAAGTTTCAAACTGGTCGCGTCATGTGTGGTCTCTCAACGGACGCTATGGCAGAAACTTAGATGCAACTCAAAAGTAACTAGCAGTTGCAGTTTCGTTGCAGTTGCGTTTCACCATCTCTTCTGGGCCTAAGCCCTCAGATTACGTAAGTGTTCAATATAACACAAGACTATTGACAGGACAATGATTGTTATTATTACAGTATTGTTTTTTTTTGTCGATGTCTAGGAGTAGTAAAATAAAATCAGTTTAGAGCCTTTAATTCATTTATTCACCAGATTCGTTACACGAACGGTTCTATGTTGATCTCGAGCGCCGAGCAAGGGTTGGTGAGCTCGAAAGCTGCCAATACGTTGGGGTGTATGACGCCTATTTTGCCTATCACTTCACCGCGGAGGACCACTTCGGCGCACCTTCCCGGGAAATACGCTGGGTCTGTAAGGAGAATGGTTATCATTATTCTATAAGATTTTAAACTTTCGTGTTCCATTTACACTCAAATAGAAAGACACGGGTCTTAACGCGACGAGTTACATTATGTACAGTCACGGAATGAAAAGGTTCGTCAGTTTTCAAATTGATTCCTTCAACGAATCACAAGCACATATTACCTTTTGAAACTATGTTACAGAATAATCTCGAGTTAGAGAAAATAATCTTTAACTGTACGTCAGTAAAGTTCAAAATTATTCAGATCAATGTTGTTTGACGATTTAACTTGTCAAGAAGATTATTATGATTGATTGATTGATAAACTAAAACCTTGTTGGTTCAACCTGCCATTATCTATTAAATAAAAAAACATTTTGTAACATTGCTGCATTGCACTGATGGGATAGAAAAATAAACAAGCAAAACCTTATTCGTTAGCAAACGTCATATTTATTTAAATGTTAGCAGCACTGTTTCTTGCACGGTTATGTTGGCAGATTTGACTCTTAGGCCTAATTCACACGAGAGCTTTTTTAACGTCCGTTAAAAAAGCGTTCAAATAGAACATATGCATACCCAAGTACGTGTTCACACGTCGGCGCTTTTAAAACGCGACGCTTTTTTATCGAGCAGTGTTGCATTTTCAACGCAGAGCGTTGGGAATAGGCCGTATGAAACTTTATATTATTATTCACACGAGCGTTTAAAAAGCGCCGGCGCTGCGGTCAGTACGCCCCGCGCTCTCTTAGTGGTCGGACGTGTTTGTTCTGTTTTGTTTTTGGGCGTGCTTGTCGAGAACGTCGATACGATGTCGTGGGTGGGATCCTGAAGTCCTTATTTTAGAAGTTGAATCTCGGCCACTTCTATACGCAAAAACCATAGCTGGGCATTAACTCGTTAATCCGTTAATCGTTAATTAACGAAGTTAACATTTCTATTAACGGATTAACTTTTAAGTTAACTTTCAAAAATGTTAACGGACTCGTTAAGTTCCGTTAAATTATCCTTAGTCCGTTAATCCAGTACCTACTATATACCAAAAAGATACAGCAGGCACGCTGAAAAACGCGTTCTGATGTCGTTCGGGTTTCCAGAACTTCCAGAACCCAAAACAACAGTTTTTGTAACCAGAGGTGGAATTGTGTAAAGCAATCGTAATCATTTGACAGTTCATAACGTACGATAAAGTCAGTTAAATAAAGAGTTTGACAGAATAATCGTAGATTCGAGATATTCTTGGAGTCGGTGCCAGCCTGCTCAGTGCCAAGCTCAAGAAATGTTCTAAATTTACCGGCACCGACTCCAAAAATATCAATCATGGTATACATTTGTCTTAAGTATCTCTGTTCATTCAGAGGATGTACCCAGAATGTCCTTTATTTCTTTCTTCGTCTTCTAGCAACACAAATCGCTATTGCTAGTAATTTTGCAGAAACCATTCCCACGTCTTACTAAAGCGGGGAACGAGACGAAAGTGATTTAAAAGCGTTCGTATGAATGATCACATTGAGGACGTTATAAAAGCGCCGACGCCGGGTTATAACGCAACGCTGTTTAAACTCTCGTGCGAATGAGGCCTTACAGTACCTAGTGCAAGCGAAAACCGACACTAAGGTGACGAACCTTTTCATTCCGCGACTGTACACACGACTTGACGTTTCGGCAGCTATACTGCAGCCGTGGTCACAAGCAGACTGGCGGCTCGCGGCGTCATAACGTAACTCAATAAATGATGCGTTAAAATCCGTGTCTTTCTATTTAACGTTATTCGGTATGAAAGTCTATCTATTGAACTGGGTGCCTATGTAGTGGTAATAAGTGCGATTTTGCAGTGTACCTTCCCGCTACCTCAGGCCGTAGCCTCTGCCACTGTAGGGCACTCGCAGCAGAGCTATGCAGCAGTGGTAATCATAAGTGCGATTTTGCAATAAAAATGTGCTGTGTATTTTCTGGTTGCCTCAGGCTGTAGCCATCACTGCCGGCACTCGCAGCAGCGGCCATGACGCGGTCGAGTAGTCCGTGCACGAACTGGAAGCCGGCGGCGCGTCCACAGTGAACCTTATGTAGTAGTAATAAGTGTGAGTTTGCAGCGTACCTTCCCGCTGCCTCAGGCCGTAGCCATCCATCACTGCTTTAAGCACTCGCAGTAGCGCCATGACGCGGTCGAGTAGTCCATGCACTAATAACTGGAAGCCAGCGTCGGGCCTAAGTGTACCTTACATAGTGGTAATAAGTGCGAGTTTGTAGTGTACCTTCCCGCTGCCTCAGGCCGTAGCCATCACTGCTGTAGGGCACTCGCAGCAGCGCCATGACGCGGTCTAGTAGTCCATGCACTAATAACTGGAAACCAGCGGCGCGCCCTCAGTGCACCTTATGTAGTAGTAATAAGTGCGAGTTTGCAGCGTACCTTCCCGCTGCCTCAGGCCGTAGCCATCACTGCTGTAGGGCACTCGCAGCAGCGCCATGACGCGGTCGAGTAGTCCATACTAATAACTGGAAACCAGCGGCGCGCCCTCAGTGCACCTTATGTAGTAGTAATAAGTGCGAGTTTGCAGCGTACCTTCCCGCTGCCTCAGGCCGTAGCCAGCACTGCTATAGGGCACTCGCAGCAGCGCCATGACGCGATCCAGCAGTCCGTGTACGAATTGGAAACCAGCGGCGCGCCTATAATGCACTTTAATTAAGTAGCGGTAATAAAATAAGTGTTGTTTGTATCGTACCTTCCCGCTGCCTCAGGCCGTAACCATCACTGCTGTAGGGCACTCGCAGCAGCGCCATGACGCGGTCGAGTAGCCCGTGTACGAATTGGAAACCAGCGGCGCGCCCACAGTGCACCGCGCATAGACGCCGCTCGTTGCGTGCGCCAGTCTCTACAATTAGAAAAACATGTTTATGGGCGTTACGTATTATTAAAAGTTAAAAACGGACTTCTTGGCGGGAATCTGAAGCGTCATGTTAGCGGTTTTGTTTTATTTCCTCAAATTCGTGTTTGGGCGACTGTTAATGTGTAATAATGGTGGGTTATTAACCATTGAGTGTTCGTGAACGTGCATGGGTGTGGGCAAGTGAAGCAAAACAGTGCATCGTGATTCTTCGGGTTCTCTCAAGTTGTCCATAGGAGATCTCAGTAAAGCACCACAACTTTACTGAGACTCAAAGGGTGGGAAGGGGTATAATCTATCATGCCTTCATTATATCATTACTTGATCTCATTTTGTAACTCGTATCACTTATAAACTTGAAAATGGCAAAAATCAAGTCGACGTCGACGTGTATTGCCAACATCATCAAAAAAGAAGAAGAAGAAAGTTAAAAACCAACTTAATTTATAGGTCTACTGCTTATACTGAACCAGTGCCTGACGTATGGGAGTGCCATGGGAGGAATCCTCTTCTGCCTCGCCTTATTACGCGGGGTCGGCTTTCTTTTACCATAGAGATATAGAGAGATGCCAACTAATGCGCTGAGTTCGAAACTCAGTGTCGCATTAGAAATTGACACACTCAAAGTAATCAAAATATGTGCTCATTATCCACTGCGGTATCAGTACTCAACGTTCGAATAATCTTTAGTACTACGCAAGCAATGTAAACTACATTACTTTACTTACATTATGACGTCTGCAGCAATGTACTGTTCTGTTTTTCCCCTTAGTTTGTGATATGTGGCTTTCACAATCATGCGCTGCCATTTGATTCTATCTTGAACGTCTTGTTCAGGGGACGAATACAGATTATAAAAAAACTTTTTTGTTAATTTTTCCACAGTAAAAACAACTCACCAGCATTATCATCCTTCAACACGACGTCACTGATTTCAAAGAGCTTCAAAGGCAGGGGCATCTTCTTATTGGCTGCGAGCGTCTTCAGGAGTCCCGATAGCAGCAGCGTTCGGACTACTTGAAACTCGAGCGTCTTCGGGTTGGAGATATGGACGGCGGGGACTTCCTCGATCTTGAGGCCAAGCTTTGTGGCCACGTCCTCGCGAGAACACTGGAATTTTTAAGCATATCAATTAATGCTGGTTTTCTATATTCAATCATAATCCAAATCCGTCTCTCTACTGTCAAATTTCAATGTTTTTGGTCAAAATATCTGCGCTTTTTAATGTTTTTACATTTTCATATTCTTTGTAAGATTATTAAACAATATTAAAGTTTAATCGCATCAAAAATTATGGATATTTGATTGAAAACAGATTAAAAGATAGTTGAAATCCGGATTTGGACAAGGATTGAATAAGGGAAAAGGGCGTGAATCTGTTGAAAAAATAAAAGACTACACAAGTGGAAACTGCCTGCTTTCAAAGGGCAATATCTCGCCAACATTGCGTCAATACTGTAGCATAGAAGAATAATGAGATACCGTCGAATATAAAAATCTGTCACTCGCTTATAATATCTGGGTAGAACGTCAGCTGATGATATGTAGGGGCTCACAAGTGTGCCTTGGTGTAGTCGGCGTCAGCTTTCAGTTACTCCGAGAGCTTGGTTGGCAGCAAAATTTTAAGTAACAGTCGAAGATAGTATGGTTTTGTTGGGCAGAAGTGCAGAACTTTTTTGTGAATAGGGAGGATTACAAGCTGAAGTGGCAATGGGCAGGGCACATAGTACGCAGAACTGACGGCCGATGGGGCAGCAAGGTTCTGGAGGGGAGGCCACGTTAAAACGCAGCGTGTGACGTCCACCCACAAGGTGGACCGACGACCTGATAATGGTAGCAGGAAGGCGCTGGACGCAGGCCGCTACTGTGCGATGTGGAAGTCATTGGGGGAGGCCTAAAATCAGCAGTGGACTGATGATGATGATTCGAGTATCAGGTGATGATGATGACTTACGAGCGTGAAGGTGAGCGCCTCAGTATAGCCGGCGTGGGCGCATTCAGCACGCAGCTGATGACCGCCCGCATAATTTTAAGTAACAGTCGAAGATAGTATGTTTTTTGTTGGGCAGAAGTGCAGAACTTTTTTCAACACTAGACTGATGATGATTCGAGTATCAGGTGATGATGATGACTTACGAGCGTGAAGGTGAGCGCCTCAGTATAGCCGGCGTGGGCGCATTCAGCGCGCAGCTGTTCCGAGAGCTTGATAGCTGGTTGCTGTCCACCAGCCGTGGCCGGACCGCCCGCGCGCCGAGGGATGTTGTTGTATCTACGGGACGAACGAAATAATAATTCATTTTTATGTTTGGAATTACGGCACTGGGATTATAATGGTTGCCCTAGCACACCACTTTTTTAGGTGCCGTTGATGCAAGTTTCATTCAATCTAACTGTGTAATATGTATGTAGTGTAGCTATACGGCCCTTTGTTCACAATGGGCGTGGTCTTTCGGCACCTCTTAATATGTCAGCTGACAATTTTCAAACCGTATTAACAGTTTTAGCGTGCGGGATTTACTGGTTGCAGGTACATACCGGTTTTAAATTGAAACAAAAAAAAACAGTGATGGTGATTATGTTGTAAACTCTAAAAAATCCAGTCATTTCCACCTAGGCATGGTCTAACTCACTTTTTATGTTTTACTCTACATGCCCCATGAACTCTGATGAACATTTATAGATAATAGTTACCCGAAAGCGATAGCAATGTCTTCGTAGAGATCGCAGGCGTGGATGACGTCATGCCTGGTGGGCGGGACTCTGACGCGCAGCAGGTCATTTTCCCGCGTTGTGGGCAGGCACATACGGGACAGAAGCGATGCCAGTTTGTCGCCGTCTTCGCTGGAAACAAAAATGTTGCACAGAGAATTAATCCTGAGTCTAATGAAAAAAAATACTCGAGCTTAGCAAAATTAGTGTGCTTTGAACCCATTGAGACCATTATGAAGACAATAAAACTGTAAACAAAAAAGAACAGAGATAATAAAGAAAAGCAATGTAAAACACCCTGTATTTTATTCAATTTAAAAAAAATTCATCATTTCAGCCACAGAATGTACTTTGCTGAACAAAGGCCTCCCCAGTAATTTCCAGATTGGCCTGATTTCTGCTGAAAAGACCCTCGAGGTAAAAAGGTACAACAACTTGTATTTAATTTATAAAACTAAAAAAAAACCTCCAAAAAGACGATGCTGATCAGCTCCTCTCAACACGCGAGCTTTGCATATAGCTCGTATTCGATCGCGAACAATCTATATTTTATTCAAACCCAAAAGATCCTCACCTGATCCCAATACAGGGTGGAAACGATAAGTGATCTCACTCGATTATTTCTAAACTATATAAGATATCGAAAAACTGGTTTCTGATCCTGAAAGTGCTTCACGAGCTCTATCCAACGGTACCAATAATAGGTTACAAAATAAACTGGATCTATCCGAAAATTCAATGTTTCCAGGCTCCTTACAGGGTGGACCCGTATAGCTGTTAGCTTTATCAATGCTGATCAGCTCCTCTCGGCAAGCCAGCTTGGAGTACACCTCGTAGGTAGAACAACCTGTAATTATTTTATTAAATCCCAAAAAAACGTAAAAAGACTCACCTGATCCCAATATAGCTGTTAGCCTTATCAATGCTGATCAGCTCCTCTCGACAAGCCAGCTTGGGGTACAGTTCATAGGTGCCGTCGGGCGCGAACACCTTGCACTGCTGCACCTCGTGCGAGCGTCCGCAGTACTGAGAGAACATGCTCACTATCGTATCCAGGACTACTATGGCCTGGAATAGAAGATACAATAACTAATAATAACTCTCAATCGTTTCCTGGACCAAAACCCAAAATGTGACGTATTTGCAGAGGGGTGGAGTACGTTACTAGCAGAATGTTTGGGTTACTGTGAAAATAATCGCATCTGATTTATGTACTTTTCCTAAATTAATTGTTTTTAATTACTTAAATGTTATTCTGAGCTTTGTTACGTCTTGTTTGAATAGTGTAATTGGTACTACCGTTCTATTCATGAATAAATAAATAAATAATAAGGTTATCAGTAGGCCTAAGATGCGCCCCGCGATAAGCGGTTATCACGCCATTTTATCGATTTTGCCCATACATTTTGACGTCGATAAAAGTTATCACGGCGCGCATCTTAGGCCTACTGGTTTAAATCAAAAGACACTTTTTGGTGGACAAGGATTTCCACAAAGAGCGATTGAACAACCGACGAGCAACTTAAAATAAAATTAGTAATTACAATTATTTTCCTGTAGTCAAATGTTCAGTGCAGTTGATTGGAGACTGGGAGTCGTAAAGAATATGTCATGCTGTAAAACTATTGTTATATGAAATTGAAAATTGTTTCCCATTAGAAATGCAACTCATGTGCCATCCTGTTTTAATCTAGTTCTTCTGGGTTGGTAATAGAAAACCTAATACAGAGTAATTTTTGAATGAGTACAAAAATTTTTGAGTGGATAAGAGCTCAAGTAGCATGTAACATTAATTTCCATTCCATACCTTAGTCAAATCCGTTGCTGTGCACTCAATGAAGACATTCTTTGTGTTAAGTGTGATCTTGGAATGGTCTCCATTGATGATGGGCGGCATAGAGAGCACGACACCATTCTTGTCCTTGATCACTGGGTACACTGGGCTGTCTCTGATGATAGGCAGGTACTGCTTCAGTTGAGCATGATGCTGGAAACCAGACGATGAAGAAACAAGTTATTATCAGTCATACAGATATGGAATTTCTGCACCTTATGGAATGTTCTTATCAGTGCGGCAACTATTTATGCATCCAAAATATTATGTAGGTTGAAAGTCAAAATGATAACAAAATATCCATCAACAGACTTGGGTATAAAATACAAAAATTAATTACACATTTACCTTTATACATGCTTTGTCTAATTAGAAATATTGAATAAGTCAAAACATTACCGAGTATAGTTCCATGAGCTCCGTGGCAGTCATCTCTTTTTGTTGATTGAGTGCTTTGAACTTAATTTCGCTAGGCGGCAGAGCATCATACACAAATGGGCCCTGAACTGTGTCCAGGTCATGAGTGCCGATAGCCACCAGTGTTCTCTTTCGGCAAATGTTTTGGTGCAGTTTGTCCTAAAATAATTTTATTTTTTATTAAGAATCATTGTGATGAAGGATGGTTAAGGGGTTGTTTCTTATGGTTTTTGCAATAGCATTTTTATGAAAAAAATTAAACTTGATAATATGTTAAAATTATCTTTCTATTTCTTTCCTGTAGTTTTATTCTTTACACAAAAACTACTGTTTTTGTTATCATCAATAATGTACTTATAAATTATAAAATAAATAAAAGAATTAATACTAACCTGTAGGTCAATGAAACTGTTGTAAGACTCCTGTGTGAAGGTGATCCCTTTGAGCACTGCTGCCACAGCATATGGCCTGATCTGGCCAGTGGCTGGTGTTAAGTGCAAAGAATAGCAGTCTTCATATTTCACTAGCTTATATTGTGGAGGCGCTTTCCTGTAAAATTGGTTGTTGTAATTAGATAAAAACTTTATACCTACTTGTTTACAAATTATAAATTAATGATTATAAATAAGAATATAAACAAGTGACACTTACTTTCCTTGGAATACGAGTATTCCATCAACTAGTCCTTCAAGGCACAATAAATCATATCTGTTGGCCGGGATATCTATTCGATATAGGACTTCCTCAGACACACCTGCACCTGCGTGATCTCCTTGCTCTTTCATGAGCATCTGCTTTTCAGTGGTCTGATAATATTGAAACACAAGTTATTAGTTCAATTGTGGAAAACAGGTAGCAAATATTAAGAAAAAAAAAAAGTATAACTTACAACTTCATCCAGCTCCAGACCAAATTCGAAACATAAATCCTGAAACTCGTCATCAGCTGAAATTATATAGAAATAGGTTACAAGTTAGATGCCTACACAGTGCTTACGTGAAATTTCATGTTTTCAAAATGGTAACTATATACGCACTGTATTTCCTTCCCAGTGCTGAGAATAACGCATCACGTTTTACAGATATTGTAGGCATTTTAGCCAGCAAATATTTTATTTACAATGTTCCTATTCTTTTCTATTTACAAAATTTGCTGGATTTGAGGTTATTTTTTGATGTAAATTTTTTTTCAGTCCTTCAAATCTGTCAACAAATCAGCTGTGATTGGTGGAGGAGCTGTCATAAGTGTTGCCACTCGTGAGCAACTACCAGACAAGGTCACCTTTCACCAAAATAATGTCGTAGATTATTCCAATGCAATCAGAAATTAACGGATTTTTACAGTTGTTTGGATGGAAGTTGCTAATTAATAGCAAGTGGCTAGGTATTATACAGTAGTCTATAGTGGTAATGAAGGTGGATTTACGCATCATACCTCTTTGTTATGTCATCATACGTCTTCAGCGTGTGTTTTGCCTTACACAATCAACAAAAACATGTCAACATTCAACTAAATTGCTCACATATTTTTGTTAATTCTGTAGGCAAAACAAGCGGCACAAGCGCTAGAGACCCGGCTTTGGTCATATTGGCCATTAAGCCCGAAAATTTTTTTTTGGGAGACGCTTGTATCACATTATTTAATACTTTAATAGATGCAATTTATGTTAAATTGCTGGCCACTTCCTAGCCATTCATTACTGATTTTTCATCAGTTGCTAGCTAGGACCATCGTGCACTGTAGACTGCTCAGTAAGCTAAATTTAAAATAGCATAAATATATACGATTACGAATACGATCAATGATTATTCCTAATCCTAAGTATATACCTACTTGTTTTGATAAAATGAATCATGCAAATTCATGCAATAAGTCATGACTTTTGATTGACATTGCCCACGGGCTCAGCCCGCGGTTTATTCAGTATTTTTAAATTAAGTTTATATACTGGCAACAAATGACTGGTCACGTGACATCAGTCTGGTTTTGCAAACGGTGAGTGGAGTGCCTTGTCATCAGTCCTTTGAGTTTTTGGATGATTTTCTTTGGAATTTTTATTCTAAGTGAGTAATTTTATGAAGAAAATCACTGGGTTAGCATGTACTTGTATTTTTTGTGGTGTTTCAACGTGACTATGTGTTGTGCTTTCATATGATGAAATTGTACCTTGTTCCGTGACTAGTGATATGACGCCATTTTCTTCGTGAATGCCAATTACTAAATTCTTCACTACTCTCTTTGTTTCTGTTGATATTCGGAGTCCTAGTGGTTGAACGTATTGTATTCAAGACACAAATGCATGTTCTCAGGTTAATAATCCCATGTTTATTTGATTTACACCCATTTTGTAGTGCACATACTGTACCATCATTCAATAGGTACGCATTTTTTGCATGACACTGCCTTGGTGGAAGGCGTAGATACAGCAGTTTTTTCTTCTACTAACACTGGCCATTTTAACTAAGTAGTATCATTGTTTGTTTCAAAATGAGGTAATTGTACTTATTCGGAGATTAAACTTATCTACCACGGTTGGAGTAAAAAAAGAGGAAAGACGATTATAGCTTCCTGTGATGAAATCAACGTGGTGTCTATGTTGGCACGACCCTGTTGTGTCTTTCACTTTGTCTCACTCATTTTTAATGGATTTGTTTTTATCTCCCCAAGACACTCATAGAAGCATAATTTCAAAATAATATGATGTAAATAGTATGTAGGTTGTGTTTGGTTGCATTGCACAGATGTTCATAGAAAAAAAAGGTGCTCATGATCAATTAAGCCATTAAGGTATTGAGAGAAAAAAGACATCTGCTTACCTGTTGAGTCCTTTATTTAGATCTTCTATAATTGAAACTAGAAGTTAGGCATTAGGGTATGGTATTTTATAACTTCATTACAGTTTTTACTGTTTTTCTTAAATCTTTATTCATAGTTTTCTATGAATATGAGTGTGTATTATTCAAAGATTGTGTACCTACTTAAGTAGAAAAATATTATTATGTGTTTGATTGGAAGATCACTCTTTGTTTTTCCCATACCATTAAAAGTTAACTTTTAATTCTTTATTAGTTGAATACTAAGGTAAAACCCATTAGATTTACAATTTCAATTGTAATTTCATGATTCAAGTTTTTTGACTCTTCCTAAATTAAAAAAAAATAAGAATAATGTATGATGCTAGAGTAGTCAACATAGGCCAAACAATAAATTGGAGTTGTTAATATCTCCATGTGTATTGTTTTATCAATAACATTATTTTTAACTGGTTTTCAAGTCTATGCCCGTAATTACTACTTTTTTGAAGTAGAAAGTTGAATTTTAGACTGATGTGTGTGTTTCTGTCTATATTGACTACATTATGACTTTTTAAATTATTCCATGAACATTCTCAAAGAAAATGTTTTAAGCAGAATTAGTAAAAAAATCTGCATCCTTCTATAACCTCCTTGGCTAACATTAACAAACACCTTGTGTTCCTTAGTAGATGAAAAAACTGCCATATTTTCAGTATAACTACAGGTTTTAGTAATATGTATGTGTTGACACACAGAAAGCATGAGATTTTTTGCATTATTTTGAATGATACTCTCATGGTTTTGATGTACAGAACAAAAATAACATCAACAGCACCAGAAAAAAGCCTTTGTCTTTAAGCTCACTTTGTTACCAAAATCATGTGCTTTCTTTGTTGTTGCCTGTGTAAACATTTTATTAATTCCACTTACAATGACCTGTGATAATTCATTCTCCTTTGTGGTGAACTACCTACCATTATTTCTTTCCATGTGTGCTTGTTAGCTGTAGATAATAGTAACAAACAATATTATTCACCAGATCTTATCAAGAACCTTATTATTCTGAAATAGTGCTTCACTTTATCTATTGCAATTTTCAATGTACGTGTAAAGTGTTTTTGCTTTTTCATTTTTATCCAGTAATTTTACCATGCTTGAATCCATTACATTAGAGTTCATGCTTCCACCAAGCCACATGTTTAGAAACTGGTAACTGGGTCACATGATTCATTGCGTCCAAATGTGTGTTTGGTGCTGACTATACTAATAAAACTCAGTTCGATCAGTCCAACATTTATATAACTCCACCATCTCTGTCATCATGACCATATAAAAGTATGTAATAAAAAATATTTTTTTAGAATAGAAGTTAAATCTATTAACCTCATATTATCACATTCTATCCTATATTGACTTGTTGAAAATACAATGTAAAATTGAGTACATAAATAATATTTATTAACATGATGTATGTATTGTACACAGGTAGTGTAACCATTCATTGTGATGCCGGTGGATGCTGACCTCAACTGCACAGACGTGGTGTCGCCTGCTTGTGAGCTGAAGGGCCTGCGCACTTGGAAAGACATTTGTCTGGTACGGAATTCACTTTTCCAACATCAGGTGAGAACCAGATGGAACCTCTATTCACGTCGAAATACTGTTATTTTTCTGTTGTAGTGACGTAGTTACAATGAACAGTTTTACAACCAAAATGATGACGCAATGCAATGTAAATGGCGTCGCGCTTTTACCTTAATTACACAAAGACATTTCTGAACTCTAATATTGGGCAAATTAGTAAAGATTACGGAATTGCATTCTTTTGCTTTCGAAGTTGTTATTTAATTACGCCGAAAATTAAATAGACCATAACCATTACCTAAACATGTACGTAAGATAATAATTATATTTTTTTCAATGTCAATAGAAATCAGTTTCCTAATTTTTTTAACTAAGCAATAAATTAGCTGCCATGCTCAGAAACTTGGCTCACACGAGTTGTTGTTCAGCCAGCAGTGACACACGGTTCTTTATTTCTACTGCTTTTATTGTTTATACCTTCTCTTCATTGTCCAAGTTTCTTATTGAATCCATTGTTTACTTGTTCCAAATGTGTTTGTTTCATGATTTTGAGTTTAAATGGAATGGACCATATGTTTCAAAAGTTCGGTAACGAATTTGAAGTGCCAATTTGGGGTTGCAAGGGTCAGCTCAGTGCGTAGACTGAGGGGTGAGGTGAGGAATATGTGCGGGCCGTGCCGTGACGCCGCGGCGGGGTCAGCGCCCCGGCCAGGATAATTCGGGGGAGAGCGTCGACTCGCGTCATCGCCCGCGGCGCAAGTACCGAGACTGCTTCACAACAAAAGACGGACTTCGTCCAACTATGCACAGACGGCAATAGAAGACGTTTGGATGCTGTGGTGCTAGTTCTAACGCTTGCGGTTTCTTCTCAAAGTTCTCAATTATGAGGCACATCCATTATCCCAATAGCAGTGAGTAGGAGAGCTTCCCGAGATCAAGAATATCCGAGCAAATCGTTGCACTTGCACACTGCACTGTTCACTTCATTAGCGCCATGTTTAAAATTATGGTAAAATACTAAAGCCGTGATAGTTTAGAAACATTTCATAAAATTATGAGTCATGTTATGTTCTACGGGAAGTTTACAACGAAATTTTAAATTGTTCGCCCTTCCAGAGGAATCTTTGGTGACCCTCTTCGTCTTAGTAGCAGCTCTCGCCGCGACTGCTCTGCCTCGCACCTCCCTCCTCGCTTTGTTTACTCGACCTCACACCGATACGAAAATCATCTTGTCATTGACCAGATTTCAGCAACGCAGTCCGGCGTGAAAAATAAAATTCCTTTTGTGCTATTAATGACATCCCTCCATCTACTTATGCGTACTTGTTTACTTATAATAGGTTGAACGGCCTCCGATATTCGAATATTGACCTTAGTTTTCACTTTCATCCCCGACTGAGTGCAATGGACTTTTGGTTTCNCTATGCACAGACGGCAATAGAAGACGTTTTGGATGTTGTGGTGCTAGTTCTAACGCATGCGGTTTCTTCTTAAAGTTCTCAATAAGATGCACATCCATAATCCCAACCTAATCACAATGAGTAGGAGAGCTTCCCCAGATCAAATATATCCGAGCAGCTCGTTGCACTTGCACTGCACTGTTCACTTCATTAGCGCCATGTTTAAAATTATGGTAAATTACTAAAGCCGTGATAGTTTAGAAACATTTCATAAAATTATGAGTCATGTTATGTTCTACGGGAAGTTTACAACGAAAGGACAATGTTCGTTCTCCATACATTGTTCGCCTAAAGAACCAACAATTTTGACATATTACTACCCGAAAGCGAAATAATACGATTCTGTGTGTAAGAACAATGATTCCTGATGGACACNTTGGTTTCGAAAATATTTATTGTTTTAGATATAGGGATTTGTCTAAGTTTTCCTTGTGCCTTGAATTTCTTATTGACCATTTAGGTATAGGAATTTATTATTTTATTGAATTGCTGGACGATGAAATGCCTATCTTTGTTTATATGTATCTGTATTGTATATCTGCCTAATATTACCTACATATTTTAGTGTATGTGGTGTACTGCTATCTGATGTTGCAGCCGGATATTGGAGTACCTACCTACGTAGCTAAATAAAATACTGATAAAAACCCTAAAATGACGTCTTGATAAGCATTCACAGTNTTTTGGTTTCAAAAATAATTTTTTATTGACCGTTGTGGTATAGGAATTTATTACTTTATTGAATTGCTGGACGAGGAAATGCCTATCTTTATTTATGTATCTTTTTTGTATATCTGCCTAATATTACCTAAATATTTTAGTGTATGTATGTGGTGTACTGCTATCTGATGTTGCAGCTGGATATTGGAGTACCTACCTAACTAAATAAAATACTGATTAAAAACCCTAAAATGACGTCTTGATAAGCATTCACAGGCTCATTTCACAGAATCTGAATAAGTAGTAAAAGGAAACGAACTAGAATCAATCCATATGAGTCACGAATTCACGACGCACGATGAGTGTCCAGTTCGAAAAACATATTAATTTTATCCAGTCGCGGAGATGTTTGTGCGCTGAATAGGTAGGTATTTCGAAGAAGTTCAAAGATAATGGTGTTAATGTGGCGATATGAGTCGAGCAGCGCGCTGTTGTGTGATGTCGAGATGGCTGGCCGAGGCGGCCATGTGTTTATCAGCCCGTGAGCATCGAGTAGTGTTTGTATTGGTGAGTGCGTGCGCGTGTGAAACGGAATGACGCGAATAGTTGCAGGCGGCGGGCGGGCGAACGGCACCGCGCTGCCGCGGCCCGCGAGTGGCGGAGCGCGAGCGCGACCAGTCCTCGCCAGCACGCCGACCGCACAGGAGCTCGCCGCCGCGAGGCCGACATCGCGTTTACTTACCAAAGCCGTCCAGCATCAGGTGCTACTAATGCACCTTATCTCTTTAGATAATAGTGCGAATTAGTGTGCGCGTTTCTCCGTCCGGATTGTAACTTGTGGCTGTGATATCATTCTGTGGTGGGAAGCGCTTTCAAGCGTAGTTTCTACGTGGCCATGGGCTCGCGTTACCACTCGAAGGTAATATTTGTTCGTGGTTAAGTGTGCGGTGTTTTTGTGTGCGTCTGCGCCGTGAGATGCTCGAAAGGAGCCTGTGAGCCTGCTAGACTAGGCTGCTTGAAGGCCGCCGCGTGCCCCGACCTTGATGCCAGAAGGTCAACGTCCCCACGTGTTTTGTTTTGAACTTTGTGCAATATGTAGTCTACACGAGCGACAGGAACTAACTGTATATTTTTTATTTACCAATATCTGTGAAATATTTTATAAGATTTGATAAACGATATTGTCTAATCTTAAGTAGATAGCTTACATTTATTTCATTGGTTGGTTTTATTTTGTTGTTCATTTGTTAATGAGTCGTCAGGTCACGTCATTCTATGTTTATAGGATCCATAAAACAATTACAGGGAAAGGAAGAACTCAAATCTTGATCTTCGAATGTAGAGCCACTACCCAAAGCCTTAGAAATGAAACTTCGTATGCTGATAACTAAGGCTAATTGGTAAAGTAGATATTTATTTATTCCGATAACCGTTATGAATATTTGTTCTTGTAGTTCTTTGTTCAGCTGCTGCTGCTGTTTATTGAACCGCAAATCCTGCGCAATTGGATGAATGCTAGCTTTTGTTAAACAATTTTTTTTCTTATTAGGTAGTTTTTGAGAATTCCGAAATTTATCCTTTTCATATTGGTTGTAGCTTCTTTCAAGTCCAACCAGATTCTTATGTTTTTTTTGTCGAATGGGTAATTCTTGTTATTATTTTGACCAAAACTGCTGAGAGCTGACTGATAAGTAGGTATACCGATAGTATACGGAAATGTAATTTTTTGCCTAAGGTTGATTGTGTTCTTCCAAATGTCGTTTTCGAGCTTTGTTGTCCTCAGTAGCGAACAGTGGTGATTAAAGTGAATGCCCGAGTTTCTTATTTCTTTAGATGAAGAAATGTTAAACTTCCAACCTGCCTACTTTTGTTGTTTAACACACAATTATTTCTTGAGTCATCATGAAAACTTGCTGCGTAAATTGTTGTCTTGTTAAATAGTTATCACCTTACTACTGCGCACTGTTATTGTGGTGTTGATACGGAATTTTAGCCGTCATCATAAAGATACTGGTTCGAATAACAAAATCGAATTCACCACTTAGTTTAATGACAAGATGCCCAGTTTTTTGTTAAATGATTTAACCTTGTTTTGGAAGCAGGTTTGTTTTTGATGTGTCTGCTCGTAAATTTTTCCTCGTTTTTAATTTGGCCCAAACTATTCTAATTATTCAACGAATAAGAAACAATTCGTAGCCACCACAACTAGTAAGTAATGTTTAATGAGCATTGTGTTTCAAACAATGATTGCGCGTCCTTTGTGTGCAATCGGTGCGAATGAAAGAGAGAGCGATATGTGCCGAGCGGTGTTTCACAGCTGCGCTGCGTGTGCGCGATCAGCTGACGCCGCGGCGGCCATCTTGCCGTGCGTGTTGGATTTTCGTCGCGTCATTGTTCGTCTGTGACGCAAGCTCTTCCTTCAAATGCTAATGTCATTGTCCTTCCTGTAGCAGTGATTCGTACTGTACTTGATGAACTAGTCCTTTTGTCGATGCTAAGTTCTAGTTGTCTTCCGTGTTGTTCAGCTGCCACGCGGAAGGAAGGCATGGGTGCGAGACCCTGGCAAGTCTATTTTTGGTAAGTGACGTTTCTGTTTCTGCTAAGACAGCCGTTCTGCGATATCTAGAGACGCTATTTTACTGTTTATTAGTGTTATTTTTGTTTAGACTCTTGCCAAGAAAATGTTTGACCTCGATTAAATAGAGTTCATAATCTGACGCGGAATTTGTTTGACAACATTGAAATTACTTAGATATTTACACATACACAATACTTATAGATGTAGGCCTACTAAGTATGTGCTTGATTGTAACTTAGTTTAACAAACGACACTTTATCACGTTTAGTCACATTGAGTTCGAGAATGTTCTAGGTTTGAAGAATATCTTATTCGTTTTAATTCAAGTCAATAATTTTATC